GTGAAAAATTTTGCTCAATTAACTGTGTCAGGAAGTCGTTCAGAGTAAGTAAACTTGCCTTCCCTTCTCCATGGCATGTAATTTTATTTGTTTTAAATGTAGGCTGTGGTCTGCATATGCCACACAAAAGTTTATATGTTGAAACAATCTTCAAATTCTAATGTTAATGGTACTTGGAGGTGAAATGTTGGGAGATAATTAGGAGAATAGATGAGAGGGCAGGGCTCCCATGATGACATCAGTGGCTTTATAAGAGGAAGCGAGATCGCGTAAGCAGCCTCTGTCTTGCCATTTGATGCTTTCTGCCATGTTATAACAAGACAACCCTCAACAGATACATACAGTCCCTCAATTGTGGGCTTCCTAGCCTCCAGAACTGACAGAAATAAATGTATTTTCTTTATAAATTGCCCAGGGTTTTGCTTTTTTGTAGCAACACAAAATGGACTAAGACAATAAATGTCCTGCCAAATTTTGAGCTTCTTTAACTTTTATAATTATGTTAGAAAACAAGTTACCTCCCTTGTCAGATAAACTCTTTAGTTTAGTGTATATTTCATAGCTTGAGTTACCACAAAATTTCTTTGAAACTGGGATAGTTTTAGAATGAAAAGAAACACTATTGGTAATTAAAATATGACTGTCATGCCTGAAGCACACAGAGCTTAGGTGGCAGAGTTAAATTTTACATCAGAACACTTTAAAATTTGTAGAAAGTGAATGACTAATTTTTTTTCTTTCAACTCTATCTCTAATAAATGACTAATTTAGATAAAGAATTCTTAAAACTCAATAATAGCCCAGCACAGCTCAGGATCATGAGGCAGGGAGATTACTGGTTTGAGGCCAGCCTAAGCAACTTGGCAGGACCTTCATCTCAAAACAAAATTAAAAAAACAGAATATAGCTCTTAGTTCAGTTCACAATGCCAAATAACAGTAATAACCCAACTAAAAAATGGGTAAAGGAATCCAAATACACATTTCTCAATTAAAAAAAAAAAAAAAAAAGCTATACAAATGGCCTTTAAGATGTGAAAACAGGGGGTGGGGCTGGGGCCCGGTGGTAAAGTGCTTGCCTTGCATGTGTGAGGCACTGGGTTCGAGCCTCAGCACCACATAAAAATAAATATATTGTGTTTTCATCTGCAAGTAAATAAATATTTTTTAAAAATGTGAAAACAATGCTCTTCAACATCATTAAGCAAATAAAAATCAAAACCATGATGAAATCCTACTTTATACCTACTACCTGGCTAAAATTATTCTAAATTGAGAATAAGTTGTTGACAAAGATGTGGAGAAATTATAAACTTCATACATTGCTAGATGGAATGTAAAATAAAGTCTCTTGGAAAACAGTTTGGCAGTTCTAAAAGTTAAGCAGAATTATCATGTGACCCAGCAGTTCTACCCCAGGTACATAACCCATAAAAAAAATGAAAATGCATGACTGCTCAAAAATGTGAATAAAATCCATAACATTATTCCTAATAACCAAAACATGGAAACCCAAATATCCAAATGATTAATGGATAAATAGTTCAGAAAGTACAATAGTGATTGCCTAGAGCTGGCAGATTTGGGGGACGATAAGAGTGACTCCTAATGGATACAAGATTTCTTTGGGTGTAAAAAATATTGTAAATTTAGACTGTGGTAATGGTTGTACAATTCGTGAACATGGTAATGCCCCCACTGCACACTGTTTTGACTTTCTGTAATTTGAGTTACCTGTGGTCAATTGTGATCTGAAAATATTACATGGAAAATTCTAGAAATAAACAATTTTCAAACTACAAGCCATCAAGTAGTGTGTGTGATGAAATCTCAATTCTGTCCTGCCTGGTACATGAATCATTCATTCCTTTATACAGCATGTCATGTCCACGCTGTATGTGCATTCCACCTATTAGTCACTCAGTCGCCATCTTGGTTATCAGAACTGTCACAATATCATGGAATTTGTGTTCAAGTAACACGTAATACCCTCCAAACACAAAAAGAGTGATGCTGGCAATCACTAAATATATATTGATGATTTGATAAAATTATTTCATTTTATTGGCTGGCCTCATGAATACCCATAAAGAGGTCTGGAAAGAAATGGGTTGCTAAATACTACTGATCTCTTATGCCTATTAAACTTCACCATAGCTATGTAAGTATAGGGGAAAAAACATGGTGTGTATGGACTAATACTCCAATTTCAGACATCCACTGGGGACTACCATATACTAAAAAACATTGTATACTTTAATTGGGTGAAGTGTATGTATATATCAGCAAAGCTGTTAAAAACAATACATGCTAAAATCTGATTCCTATGTGTTTCTCCAATTTAGTGGGAAGCCATGTCCTCCTTTTAAGATTGTAATTTTGGATGAAGCTGATTCCATGACCTCAGCTGCTCAGGCAGCTTTAAGACGAACTATGGAGAAAGAGTCTAAAACCACACGTTTCTGTCTCATCTGTAACTATATTAGTAGGTATGTATGTTTCCCTGTAGATGCTAGGCAGTCTTATTTATTTTGGTACTAGGGATTGAACTCAGGGACACTCAAGAGACAGGGTCTCACTGAGTTGCTTAGTGCCTCGAGGTTTTGAGGTTGCTTAGGCTGGCTTTGAACCAGTGATCCTCCTGTCTCAGCCCCACCCACCCCCCCAGCCTCTGGGATTACAGGCATGCACCATCATGCCTGGCCAGTCTATTTTTTTAATTGACACGTAGAAAGTGAACATATTTATGGGCTAACGTGACATTTTTCTGCATATATACATGTAATGGATCAGAGTAATCAGCATATCACTTCAAATATAGTTGTTGATACCACTTGTAAGGCAATTTTATTTTGATTTAAAGACTGCATTAACATTCCATCTTGATTTGTTCTTAATAAGTGGTTTTTTTTTCCTCTCATTCTTTTGTAGAATAATTGAACCCTTGACCTCTAGATGTTCAAAATTCCGCTTCAAGCCTTTATCAGATAAAACTCAACAGCAGCGATTATTAGACATTGCTGAGAAGGAAAATGTCAAAATTAGTAATGAGGTAAGTAATTCCTTTGATGAATGTCCATGAAGAGGTCTGGAAAGAAATTTATCACTTTGACCCTACTATATTTTTCAGGCAAACTGAAGCTAGATGAGCAACAGTGGAATGTCTAGGAGTTAAAGGTTTACTACTGTTAAATTATTTAAGCTAATTTCTTTCAGACACCCAAAACTGAGGTCACATATACAAGACAAATACTGCAACAAATAGTCTAATAATACACTTCAAGTGATAAGGTCCTTACTCAGAACTCAACCATAATTTGAATTTCCTTTGCTTATTTTCTGTGATCCAGGAAATAGGATAAATATGGATTTCATTAAAATCAAAAGGCTCTAACTGGTCATCATAGTTTATTCCCACCAACTAGGGAGGCTGAGGCAGGAGGATCTCAACTTCAAAGCCAGCCAGTCTGGGCAACTTTGTGAGACCCTATCTCAAACAATGAAAAAGAGCTGGAGATGGAGCTCAGGGATGAAGAGCCTCTTGATTGAATCCCCACTACACACATACACACACACACACATAAAAAAAAAAAAATTAAAAAACCCCCCTATTTTCTTTTCAGGGAATAGCTTATCTAGTTAAAGTATCAGAGGGAGACTTAAGGAAAGCCATTACATTTCTTCAAAGTGCTACTCGATTAACAGGTGGAAAGGAAGTCATGGAAAAAGTGATCACAGACATTGCTGGGGTAAGAAACTAGATAAATTCATTATAGTTGTTTTTATTTGTGGCTGTTTGAAAATTATGTACACTAGAATATGTAATATGGGAATAAACTGGGTACCAGGATACTAGAGGAGGTAACGCTGATTTTTCAGTTCATCAAGTACATTATTCGATTTTTAAGTATAAAAGGTATAGCATTAGGCACATTAGGTATTCTGTTAAAGCACCCTGTTATCCCTTAATATCTGTGGGGGATTGAGTCCAGAACAGCCCTTCCCCCACAAAAAATCCAAGAAAGTTCATTCAAATCCTTTATGCAAATTATGTAATGTTCACATGTAATCAATTGTATTCACCTTTCTTTGTGCTAGTTTTTATATTGTTTAGGGAAATTCAGGGCACATGCAAACTTTTCAGATATTTTCCATCTGCAGTAGGGTAAATCCATGGATACAGGGCAAAACTTTAAACAAAAGGTATATTTCAACATTCGAAATCATTATCAAAATTCACCTTAGTGATTACATTCAAAACATCATTCCCATTTTTCAGAAAACTGCTTTCCCCGAGGCCCTTAAGGATCAGGAAAAGGGTGGGTACCCTCACTCACCCACTGACCAGACAGAGTACTGCTGTTCTTGTTCCAAGTTTCTTCTTCACAAGAGTTCATCAGTTGGGAAGATGAGGATAACTCACACATAGGCCACCTCACTATTCTAAGTATGAAATCTATACTGAAATGATCTTTTTTTTATACCTTTTAGGTCATACCAGCTGAGGCAATTGATGGAATATTTGCTGCATGTCAGAGTGGCTCCTTTGATAAACTGGAAGCTGTAGTGAAGGTAAAACCAGTTACCAAACTTGGGGTAAAATTTAAGTGATCTTACCGTAACAATTTTTTCTGTTACACAGGAATTGATAGATGAGGGTCATGCAGCCACTCAACTTATAAATCAACTCCATGATGTGGTTGTAGAAAATGATAACCTTTCTGACAAACAGAAGTCCATCATTACAGAAAAGCTTGCGGTGAGTACATATACCATGATTACCCTAGATTATTTATCTGAGGATAGTTTGTTGTTTACCAACTTTTTAAAAATTATTTCTTGTAGGAAGTTGATAAATGCTTAGCAGATGGCGCTGATGAACACCTGCAATTGATTGGCCTGTGTGCAACCCTGATGCAGCAATTAACTCAGAACTGTTAAAGTGAATAAAATGACTTTTGTAAATGAAAGGTTTTGAGAAAATAAAATGGCCAGAGCATCTTTAAAGTGAATATACAATTTATTTAACATTCAAACTTCATTAAGACATGTGCAATATGGCAATTTTACTGGGGATTTCACCCTACCTAGGATATGATTGCTTGCTGGGGCTTAGCAACAGGGTCCAGTTCACACTTAGCACTAATTAAATACTTTATTGAATAAATACAATACCAAACAAAATGCATTCAAATGCTTTCTAAAAAAAAAAAAATCAATTTTAAAGGCCTTTCTATTCAGGCTAATGACAAACACAATAAAGGCAGATATGCTAGTTTAACATAATTGGCTGATTTTATACAGCACTTATATCTTTTAGTCCACAAGTATATTATTAAATGATAGAGAACATCTAATACAACCATTTCTACAGAACTAGGAAATAAATTTCTAAGAAAGAAAGATTTTACAGACCCCATCTTTTATACCCACCCCAACAGTCTAACTCTAAAGAGGATAAAGCCGATGACTTTCCTCACAAGAGCTCACGACTAATGTCGCTTTGCTATCAAAATCTGTATTTCTGATCCGTTATGAGCATTGAGACAAGATTCAAATATTCCCAAAGAAGCACAATGCACGTTGTGATCGCCTATTCAGCAACAGCGAGCACTGCATTCAAATATATCTCATCCCAGGAATTAAATAAGGTCAGCCACATTCATGGGCATTTCCTCCACTGTAGTATTGTAGAAAGTCTCAATGTCACGAAGAATCCTCTTGTCTTCTTCAGTAACAAAGTTTATAGCCACACCTTTCCTCCCAAATCGACCCCCTCTGCCAATTCTGTATAAGAGAAAGAAACCAGCAATCAGAAAATTACTTCTTGCATACTTTTATGAACTACTGAACATGAGGATCCACTTGTTAACCATCAGCTGCTGTTTACTTATCAAGGTTATCGTGCTTCTAATTGGAGCACTAGCTGCTAAATCAATATCTAGAGAAAAAAATCTTCCTTTGCAGTTAGTGCCAAAAGGATTCAAGGCTTGTCTGGCTGCAAAATGAGATTTTATCAGGCGTCTTGAGCATTATTATAAAGCAGATGACAAGTATTGTGTTTGGGGTAGTGAAATTAAAGCCCATACCAAAGTGGGCCAGCCAAGAGCAGTTGTCAGCCTGGGACAGATGTAAACACCAGGAATAAAACAAAGAGAACAGTTATGTAATCCATTTCGACGCACTTCTGGAACTGTAAACTGTAAATACAAATGCTGCAAGGTTAACTATTTTCTAAAACTCACAACTTTTTTTCCAGTGGGAAAACTAATTTTGGTATGGTAACCCAAACTTATCACTGCTTTTTTTTTTTTTTTGCTCAGTTTCACACGTTATACTCAAAATTACTCAAACGTGTTTACCTCCAAAACAGCTCTCTACCTTCCTATAGAAACCAGACAATACAACCACCTAATGCTCCCTAACAAATGCTAACATACAAAATGCCTTGGCTGGAGCAACTTAAAATATCAAATAATCATGACAAAAGAAAAACAAATATAAATACCGACTCGCTCTTTATTCAAACAGTGTGCTGTTTCGCTTATGATTCCACGTCCTAAATTACGTCAACGCCGTTTCTGAGCGCCATCTCGTCATCAACTGCTGCTATCGACTCCTGTATTTTTTAAAAAGTCTTTTTTTACATCATATAACAAAGTACAATTCAATTTATTTAGGGATAAAGCCACTATAACTAAACCAGGGATCACTCAAATTGCTACCAGGCGACACCAAGAAAAATCCCAATTATAGAATCACCAAGAAAAAGCACATGGACAAAGAGCATCACTAAAAATAAAGCTCAAACATACGCTAAGACAACCAACAGATCTAAAGCAACCTGTTCAGTATTGTATGTGCACAAACTGGGCCAAAGAGTACAAGTTTTCCCACTTTGTTCTGACCAATCTTCCCAAGTACAATGTAAATTACATCTGTTACTATCTTTACTGACTATTCCCTGATGACAGTGCCTTTCATATAAAAAAAGAAATATGAATTTATTTCACCAATATACAAAGTCAAGATGTTCTCACCTGTGAATATAGTTTTCACGATTGGTAGGTAGATCATAGTTTATAACCAAAGATACTTGTTGCACATCAATCCCACGAGCCTGAAATAAAACAGTGTATATTTCAGAGTCCTATTCAAAAACACTGGGAGATGCCTATATAATGTAGGCCACAAAATAGTAATGAACTATACAAAGCGGTATAGCCCACTGTGGAGCGTGGTCTTTTATTTTTCTCCCAAACAGCCCAATCTGGTAAAGGCTATTAAAAAAACCTTCCCAAATATATTAACTCTTGGTATATTACTTAAAAAACAGCAAAGTACATATATACTTACCAACAAGTCAGTAGTGATCAGAACTCGGCTTGACCCTGATCGGAATTCCCTCATGATAACATCTCTCTCTTTCTGGTCCATGTCACCATGCTGCAAATGAAAAAAACCTTAATTCAAGAATCACCACAGTCAGGTCAACATTTAATTTTATGAACATGTATGAGACCAAGCGTCCCTGGCTGCTATAGGGGTATAGCAGACAGGTATAGGTAAGAAACAACTTTATTTTGAGCAGGGGGAACGACAACACAGCACTTAACAGCTATATTGTAGTCTGAATCCTGCTTAAAAATGAATATTCAATGTTTAGATTACTAAGAACATCTCTTACCAGAGCAGAAACTGTGAAGTCCCTGGCATGCATTTTTTCAGTGAGCCAGTCCACTTTGCGCCTTGTATTGAGAAAAATCACAGCCTGCGTAATGGTCAGTGTCTCGTACAAGTCACAAAGTGTGTCCAACTTCCACTCCTAAAGCATTTCAAAGAAGAAAAAAACAAACTTAGATTTCTACTGTTCGTTAGAAATTCTTTCCGTAAGTCTGTGTAATATATGTTGCACCAAATCTTAAGACAAAGGACACTGGACATTAAGAAAGAGGTCCACCCCAGTCTTTTTAGGATCCAGTGCAGTTAATTTTCTTCTTGTGTGTACTCTGCTAGCATTATTGCAAAAACCAAGATATGATCCTAGTTTCTGCAATTTTAGCACAGTGCTTATACAAGAAGGTAAAAATCTCTCGTAACAATAGACAAAATTACCTCTCTTTCAACATTAATGTAAAACTGTTTGATTCCTTCAAGGGTCAATTCTTCCTTCTTCACCAGAATTCGAATTGGATCTCTCATAAATTTTTTGGTCACTTCCAACACATCTGTTGGCATTGTGGCAGAAAGCAACACAACCTTAGAGAGGTAAAAAAATGTTGTCACGGAAATAGATAGCACAAAAAGAACAACAAAAAAAAAAACAGAATGTTTGACACCAAGCGTCTCTTGTCTTATCATGGAATGAACTAGACAGAGATAGTAATGTATCAAATGCTTTAAGCAGGGGGAACGACAATAAAACACTTCAGTTATATTGTAACTGTACCTGCCTTAAACAAAACCTCTGAAGAGTGAAATAAAGCTTACCTGAATACTTGTATTTAATTTTTGGAAAATCTCATAGATTTGATCCTTAAACCCTCGGCTCAACATTTCATCTGCTTCATCCAAAACAAACATTTTGATCCATTTTGGAGCTGTTAATAACAAAGTCATATTGTATCATCTCTCCATTAATGAATTTGAGTCTAATAGTAAAAATAAACCATATTAAGATAATACTTACAAAGATATCTTCTGTTTAACATATCAAACACTCTCCCTGGTGTGCCAACAACAATATGTGGTGCTTCAGCCTGCAGTTTTTGCATTTCATTTCGAACATTTGTTCCACCAATGCAGGCATGACAAGTTGCTCCCATATAGTCTCCAAGTGCCAGAATCACCTTTTGGATCTAAAAAAATTTTAAAAATTAATTATTGTCCTGTAAAAGTATATACCGTGACTAACTTCCAAAGCATAATGGCAAGTTTTTGGTCTGTCAACAGCTTGTATGCATGCATAGCACAGAACTACTTCCAAGCTTAAAATGCAGATTGACCTAACTACTTCAAGGTACAATTCTTTTCTGTCTTGTGCCCTGTCATAAGTTGGATCCTGCTGACCCAGATATCAAGTAATTAAGTAACATTTCCTACATTATTCTTCACTGTGTAAGGTGTAAACAGTGAATCAAGTAATGAATGTAATTACAGCTTGGGCAAATATTGATTTCTCCCACAGGGTATGGTGCCTTAACCTTAATAAAGCCTACAGCTTTATTAGAAAGGTTTACTTCAAAGCCAATACAGCAGTGAGCTTTGAAAACATAGCATGCAACAGATGCATCACAAACTACTGAGACAGTCAAATGGTAACATGTCACTGCAGTTTTCATGTTGCACAACTGCATTCAAATTAAAAAACAGGTACAAATCTAGTTCACCCTAAACAGAAAGCTTTGGATTCACAATCTTTTGGTATACAACCCTAGTAAAACATACCTACACACACATTTCCTGCTTAACTTTGAACAAAAACTCCCTGCATGCATGGACAATTTAAAAAGGAGGGCTCTGAAAGGACCAATTTAAGCTGTTTTAAATTCTTGACAGTTGTGAAACCTGAAACCTATGCAACACGCAAGCAGTTTTTTTGAACTACACTATCAATACCTGTTGAGCCAGTTCTCTGGTGGGGGCCAATACTAGTGCTTGGGTCTCCTTGAACTCAATCTCCAACTGTTGCAGGATGGAAATAGCAAATGTGGCTGTCTTGCCAGTACCTGACTGAGCTTGAGCAATCACATCATACCCTAAAAAAAGTAGGATACATATTTACCGATCCCACATCAAATCGTCACTTCTACTTCACACCATGTATTCCAGTTGGAACATGAATTATGCCCAATATTCAAGTGATCAGCAATGAGTATTTTCTTCATTTCAGGTCAGTCCCGAAAGATGTTTGCCATCATTTCACTTTTAAGGAATACAAATAGGTGCTAGTAGTCCCCCAGAGGTTACTTTTCCCTTTTTTTATGGTCCACATCAAGGTAGAACAGTGAATTCTTTTTAAATGCCAAGAGTTTTCTTTTACCTTTAATACAGGGAATAATAGCTCTCTGTTGAATAGCTGAAGGCTTCTCAAAACCATAAGCATAGATGCCCCGAAGAAGAGACTCCTTTAAATTCATATCATCAAAGTTATCAACAATCTCATTCCAGTTGCTCTGTTAAGTTAAAAAAAATTACAAAACAATTAAGTAAGATGAAGACACTCACCTTTCAAGACCTTCAAAAATCCACACCCATTTCTTACCTCGATGACACCATCGGGGTCCATTCCCTCTGGGCCTCCATGTTCTCTGCTGACAAGAACACCGCAGTTAGGCAACATCCCTTTCCCAAGCCACCTTAACCTTTTCAAACTTTGTCAATGCCCTCCCTACACGTGTAGTCTTAAAAGAGCAAACGAAGCAGATGCTGCAGGGCGCATTAGGAACCGTGGGCCTTCCCCAAGGTTCAGGGCTGTGGACAACTGTAAAAGCAGGCCCACAAATACTAATCAGCCCCCTTCCCCTTAGGCCAGAGCGCCAAATGCTCCCGTTTCGGCAGCGGAGGGTCTCGCGAGAGCTTCACGCGAGGAGCTCCGCCCCTAACTCTGCGCAAGCCGGGGTGATTGACGCCGGCGAAGGGGCCTGCAAAGGGCTATGCCAACGGTTCGCCGGCGCTCCAGCTGCAGGCCCAGGCCCCACTGCCTTCGGGCCACGGGGTGCGCGCCGCAGCGACCCACCGCCCTCAGCTACAGCCTAGGACCCCCAACTCGGGCCGTTGGCGGCAAATAAAGCTTTGGGACTGGGTTACACTACACAGAACGAGGGCTTTAAAACTAAATGTATACCTTGCTGCACTGGGAGGGGAAGCAGCCACTTTCCTCTAATGCGTTTGTCAGAAAAGACCCCCTTCACACTCCGTTTCCGGGCCCTCGCTCTCTCTACCCGCATCTCGGGGCCCAACCCATCATGGAAGCTTCTCGAAGGGCACATAGGGGCATAGTACCCCAAGGAAACGTCGATGTACCTGGAGTTTCGTGCCTCCAAGCCATCCACTACAATCTCTGACGCTACGTAACCTTCACTATTCAACACCACCACCGGAAAGGCGCCATACCTGTTATAATCCGCGGAGCCACCAGACATGATCCGAAGAACCACTCAGCGCCCGACTGAAAAGACAGCAGCACCCCGCCACCGGTTTTTTATAGGCTCGTGGCCGGAACCCGTTTCTTGCGGAGGAATTTACTTGTCTCTCATCGGTAGCCGCAAAATTGTGATCCTGAGGTCATTACCTCAGGTGAAATCCTAAGCGAGTCGATGAGAAAATACAGATTTCATAGTTTTTCGACTTTGCAGGATCGCTGGAAATCCTAGGATCGAGAGGAGGGCTGGAACTCTTTACTTCGCGGCGGAAGAATATTGCAGCAGGGAGACAAACACCGCTCCCCGCCCGCCCTGCTCCTACGGGGTTTCCGCGTCCCCGACGCAGAGGCGGGCCGGGGAGCGGGGGCCCGCCCGGGAGGCGGAAGCCTGCGGCGCGCGGTTAGCTCGCGGCCGGGCGCCCGCGGGCCCCGCTCCGAGGTCGCAGCCGGGGGTGAGGTAACGGAGGGACTGGCATCTCCGTGTTGTAGACTGGAGGAGAATCAGGTTATTCCGCCTCTTCTCACCACTATTTAATTTGACGGTAAAGAGCCGCCAGGCGTTTAACCCCGTCATTTAACATCCATTTAGATCTTGAAAGTGTGAGACCCCTGCTAGGGAAAATGTCGGCCACCCAGCACATGCCAGAAAATCCGGTTTGCCGGTACATTTTGCAGAGCGACAAAAAGAAAATAAAAAAAAATTCTATTGCCATTTACAGATGTCTCCGAGTAACAACTCTGTTCGCCTCTTGTTGCTTCTGGTCTTTTCAAAATAATGCTAATGATTTTAACTAACAGGTGGTGTAAGGAAAGCCTGATAAAGTCATTATTAACTTTGGCACATGGGTAGAGGTTTAGAACCAAGTAAGCAGAAATTTTAATGATACTTCTGGCAGATACAATTCCATGCCACTTTGGGACCAAATAAGTTTGGGTTCCTTTTTTTTTTTTTTTTTGTAAGGCTTTGAGTTTTAATTGCCTATGGGTAGTGAAATGTTGATTAACTGAAATTCAGAGCAATACAAATCTTGCTGCTTATCTAAACTTTATGGCTTCTTAAGTCTCAAATATTTTCATTTAGCCTGAACACAAGCCCCTTATTAAGAATAAAAATGTTTGATCATTGAAGTTTAAAACAGTCCTACTGAGTGCATCATGACTACTCAATAGAACGTTTTCACGTTAATTCAGAAAACAAAGTCTAATTACTGAAGCAACTGATTCAATTTCCTATATTATAGAGGAGATCTGGCTCTAAATAACATTTTAATTTTTAAAAATCATGTATGTACTTGAAAATTGCCAGGAACTGTAACAAAAATTAATACCAAAATGACAAAGTGGACCTGGCTCTTGGTCTAAAGATGCTGCTTCTCATTCTTTGTGATGGTCTGTAATATTCAAATCCAGATTTGAGGTAATGCCAGACATTTCTGGAGAAGGATGGTGGTCAGAGAACCTTATTGTCTCATTCAAAAACTACTAAAAAAACAATACCCTGAAATCTAAGAAAGTGAGGAAAATACTAAATCAGAAAGGGCACCAACTGCTTAGTCTTACTTGAGTTTTAGTTTGGTAAAATCAAGTGATCATGGGCTGAAATCAATCAGCGATTAACACCTATTTGTGGAGTATTTTCTTTAGGACTAGCATTACCACTAGATACTGTGAAGGATTTTCCAAAGTCTCTTAAGAGGAAATGATCAAAGGGCTAACCTTTAGGTTACAAGCACTGATGAAGTTTCAAGATAAAAAAGAATAATGTAGTCAGAAACTCAGATCTACAATATCTGTAACCCCACAATGTATTCCTAATAAGTGCTGTGCTTACCACATTTGTATGTGCTTACTAAATAATAAGGAACATTAGGTAATAAGTGAATTAATGATCAAAGCATATGCTTTAACAACGTTCTGCAGATCTACAAAGAGCATTCACACTCTGAAATTAAAGATAAATGTTTCTCTTTACCAGGGATCTAAAATTAGATTGCCTTCTAAAAGTCAACTATAGATGCTTCTTACCCAGCCTGGCACCTGTGAGACCTCAAATAATGCAAAAAGTCACATTTCCTGTATGAGCCATCCAATTTAGCCTTGCTCTTCAGTAACCTCACCTGACAGTTACAATCCCATCTAGCAGCTATGAGCTGACATTCATCAAAGGAAGCATGGAATTGGTGCAAATTTGTCTATGTTTGAAAAGAATTGCCTCAAGCAGGATAGGAGTGGTAGTTAGTGCTGCTACTCATCTCTTTTTTATTCTTTAGTTGCTGGAGGAAATGAGAGGATAGATTCTGCCTGTAGGTAGGCAGCATCCCTGAAGCAATTTGGAAGGAGGCACTCACTGCCATGTTCTTCATAACTTATAAAACCACTGGCATGAAAATAGGTAAAGGTAATAAAATTGAAGAAAATGGAGAAAACTGAAAAGGATCATGGAAGGAACTATTGAACTTTATAAGGTCTAACTTTGAATCCATTTTTCCAAGGTTATTAAATTCTACTGGGTAACCAAAATGCATGTTTTCCTACCCTTACATAGAGATTCAATAAAAGTACATTCTGTATTTCAAATCAAGAAATATAAACCTGTGTTATGGGTGTAGCTCAGGGGAAAGGGACATGCTTAGCATTCATGAGGCTCTGGGTTTGATTCCCAGCACCGTACATACACAAAATGTGGTGTGCATAAAAACTGATGCAGTTTCAAGGTTCTATAAGAGCAGACCAGACACTTTTTCTTTATATCTTTCTTTTTTTTTTTTTTTTTTTTTTTTTTTTTTGGGGATTGAACCCAGTACTTTGAGCTTGTTAGGGAAGTGCTCTAATTATAAACTCAAGTTCTATTTGAAATGCAGATACCTGTGGACTCTGATCTCCCACACAGATTCATTAGATTTGGTCTGATGTGGGGCCAGCTTTTTGATTCTGAAAATGTTTAAATCTACTAAAGAGTTGCCAGAATAAAGCAATGAATGACAAATATGTCACAATTACCAATTGTTAAGAGTTTATCACATTTGCTTTCTTTGTTCTAATTATGTTTAAAGTCACAGATGCAATGACACTTCACTCCTAATTCTTCAGCCAGACATCCTTTACATCTTAAAATAAAATTATTCTCCTTTCATAAAACTATAAAAATACCATTACACCCAAGAAGTTTACTATTGATATAAGAATATGTCTAAAATCTGTCTATATCCAAAATTTCTTAAATGTTCCAATGACATACTGTAGTTTCTTATGTTTTCAATCTAGGATCCAATCAAGGATCACACATATTTAATGGTCCTGTCTCTTTAGCCTCTTTTAATCTGGAAGAGTACCTCCTACTTTTTCCCTGTGTTTTATGACTTTGACATTTTTTTTAGATTCCAGGACAATTCATTATTCTTTGTTTTAGAATGTACCACATTTTTAATATTTCTGATTTCTCCCTCATTATTAGATTACATTTCTACATTTTTGACAAGTGTGCTATGTATAAGTTGTGAAATGTCCTCAGTCCATCCCATCAGGAGGCACAGCACATAATGTTAGATTTCCTAGTACCCCTTTGTGATTTTCATTCAGGTTAATCCACACTTTGAAAAATCCTGCTTTAAACCTTGCAATGTTGTGTTTTGTTTTGAAGTCATCAAACTCTAGTAGAGTTTTGTATTGTCAGCTCTAATCCTTTATTTGAACTGCTAAACCCGTCAACAAAAACAACCATTAGTATATGGCACCACGTGGGTCCTTGCAGGCATCAAGAAAAAGGACAGAATTCTCAACTTGGATCCAATTGAGAAAGGAAAATAAGCACATCAAAACAATTTAAGAGAACAATTGTCAATCAGAAGACCAAAGAGCAGAAAATTTGTCAAGACTCAGTGGGAAAACAGATGTACTTCTATTCTATGGTGGGAGTTTTAATTTGTGTAACATTTTTATGATATTTTGGCAATATGAAGAATTAAAATGCACATATTAATTTCCCCAAGTATTCAAGTTAGTAATCTTAAACTATGCATTACTAACACAAGAAACCAGAACCCAGCTCCTCCACTTCATCATCCCCACAGTGAACAAGGATGTTTCTTTCTTCATCATTGTATTGTATTGTATTGTATTTATTTTGTGGTGGGTCTCACCATATTGCCCAGGCTGGTCTTGACCTCCTAAGCTCAAGTGCTCCCTCCACCCTCAGCCTCCTGAGTGCTGGGATTATAGACATGTGCCACTGGGCCTGGTTCCTCATTATTTTAATGGAAATAACCTAAGTATGTATCAAAATGACATTGATTAATAAATGGTATACACACATATTAGCCATTAAAAACAATGTGGTCCTCTTTTGCTTTTAGGAAATGGAATGGATTTATTTTTTCCCTATTTTTCCTCCTAAGTACAATTTAAAAGGCTAGATAGTATATAAAGCAAACACAAAAAGACTCTGAGAGGCATACAAAAGAAAAACTGGCTAGGAACCTTGAGACTGAGTTGGTGGTAAGTTCCCTGCAGTTTCTTCTTGTTTTTTTTACATCCCAGATTGAAACAGAAGCAGCCAGCAACCCAGAAAAACCAATAGGCACAGACAAGAAAAACTCCCAACAAAAATCAGCTGTCTCTATCCAATCAACCAGTAAAGAGGCATCCTAGGAAGAACAGTTTTAGGCATATCACATTATTTCAGTCTTAACACCACAAAAGAAACTGGGTCCTACCCATAGCCATGCCAGCAAAGGCCAAGTATCCTGTCATCAGTATCACAACTACCACCACCTCCACATAGTTGGAGGAGACCACAACGGAACCTGGACTTCTGGGATACCTGGCAATAACTAAGATGCTCCTTACCATTCAAATGGTGTGGTATCAGAGGACGCCTGATGGAAAATCAGGACTTAAACATCATACAATGGCAGCGAAGCCCCAATACCAGCCTGTCAGTAACAAGAGGTATCCCCTCTGAAATGTGTGAGGGGGTGCCACCTTTTGGCAATGGAGAGGGATGCTTTCCTTCCAAACCAGAGCCTTGTTTCAGCCTAGAGAACTAGCTGAAACAGAATTAATTAAGCTCTAATAAGCAATTGAAAAGATAATATTACAGATTGTAAGAGAAATGCAATCAAAACCACTATCAATTCCACTTCACATCCATTGGGGGAGATATAAAAATAATAACAAGAAGCTAGAGTGTATATCTTAGCAGAGCACTTTCCTAGAACAGCAAAAACACACACACACACACACACACACATACACAAATAATAACATTATTGGTGTGGGAAAATAGCAATTATTGGTCTGGAAGTTGGAAAATTGAAAACCTA